TCGATGAAGCACAGGTAAAGAGACAAGTCATTGTAGACAGACAAGTAAGTAGATAGACAGATAGATGAAAATAATAAAAAAGAGAACTTGACCCGGACGTGATTCGAACGCGCAACCTTCTGATATGAAGTGAGACGTGTTACCGTGTCGCCACCGTGTCGACTTAGTGTAGCCGTTCGCACACACGCGGTAGCGTGTTCTGCTCGGCCTTGTGTCGATGAAGCACAGGTAAAGAAAGAAGTAATGTAGACAGATAAATAGGTAGATAGACAGATAGTTGAAAATAATAAAAGAGAGAATTTGACCCGAACGTGATTCGAACACGCAACCTTCTGATCTGGAGTCAGACGCGCTACCGTTGCGGCACCGAGTCCGTTTAGGGTGGCCGTTCGCACACACGTGGTGGCATGATTTGCTCGGCCTGTGCCGATGAAGCACAGCTAAAGAGAAGAGTCATTGTAGACAGACAAATAAGTAGATAGACAGATAGATGAAAATAGTAAAAAAGAGAACTTGACCCGGACGTGATTCGAACCCGCAACCTTCTGATCTGAAGTCAGACGTGCTACTGTGTCGCCACCGAGTCCACTTATTGCAGCGGTTCACACACACGCGGTAGCATGTTTTGCTCGGCCTTCTCTCGATGCAGCACAAGTAAAGAGACAAGTCATTGTAGACGAACAAATAAGTATATAGACAGATGAAAATAATAAAAAAGAGAATTTGACCCGGACGCGATTCGAACACGCAACCTTCTGATCAGGAGGTGGACGCTCTACCGTATCGCCACCGAGTTCATTTAGGGTGGCCGTTCGCACACACGCGGTAGCATGTTTGGCACGGCCTTCTGTCGACGAAGCACAGCTAAAGAGAAGAGTCACTGTAGACAGACAAATAAGTAGATAGACAGATAGATGACAATAGTAAAAAAGAGAACTTGACCCGGACGTGATTTGAACACGCAACCTTCTCATCTGGAGTCAGACGTGCTACTGTGTGGCCAACGAGTCCGCTTAGGGTAGCCGTTCGCACACACGTGGTAGCATGTTTCGCTAGGCCTTCTATCGATGAAACACAGGTAACGAGACAAGTCATTGTAGACAGACAAATACGTAGATAGACAGATAGATGAAAATAATAAAAAGAATTTGACCTGGGCGTGATTAGAACACGCAACCTTCTGATCTGGAATCAGACGCGCTACCGATTCGCCACCGAGTCCGTTTAGGGTAGGCGTTCACACACACGTTGTGGCATTTTTTGCTCAGCCTTCTATCGACGAAGCACAGGTAAAGAGACAAGTCATTATAGAGAAACAAATAGGTGGATAGACAGATAGATGAAATTATTAAAAAAGAGAATTTGACCCGAACGTGATTCGAACACGCAACCTTCTGATCTGTAGTCAGACGCGCTACCGTTGCGCCACCGAGTTCATTTAGGGTGGCCGTTCGCACACACGCGGTAGCATGTTTGGCACGGCCTTCTGTCGACGAAGCACAGCTAAAGAGAAGAGTCACTGTAGACAGACAAATAAGTAGATAGACAGATAGATGACAATAGTAAAAAAGAGAAATTGACCCGGACGTGATTTGAACACGCAACCCTCTAATCTGGAGTCAGACGTGCTACTGTGTCGCCACCGAGTCCGCTTAGGGTGGCCGTTCGCACACACGTGGTAGCATGTTTTGCTCGGCCTTCTATCGATGAAACACAGGTAACGAGACAAGTCATTGTAGACAGACAAATACGTAGATAGACAGATAGATGAAAATAATAAAAAGAGAATTTGACCCGGGCGTGGTTAGAACACGCAACCATCTGATCTGGAGTCAGACGCGCTACCGGTTCACCACCTAGTCCGTTTAGGGTAGGCGTTCACAAACACGTTGTGGCAAGTTTTGCTCTGGCTTCTATCGACGAAGCACAGGTAAAGAGACAAGTCATTATAGAGAAACAAATAGGTGGATAGACAGATAGATGAAATTATTAAAAAAGAGAATTTGACCCGAACGTGATTCGAACACGCAACCTTCTGATCTGTAGTCAGACGCGCTACCGTTGCGCCACCGAGTTCATTTAGGGTGGCCGTTCGCACACACGCGGTAGCATGTTTGGCACGGCCTCTTCGACGAAGGCACACTGCTAAAGAGCAGAGTCACTGTAGCCAGGCCCAACTAAGTAGATAGACAAATGAAATACTAAAAAAGAGAATTTGACCCGCACGTGGTTCGACACGCAACCTACTGCTCTGGCGTAGGAAGCGCCTACCAGTTCCCACCGAGTGCGCTTAGGGTAGCCGTTGCACACTACGGGAGCAGTTGTTGCCCGGCCTTCTGTCGACGAAGCACAGGTAAGAAGCGCCCAGTCATTGTAGAAGGACACATTAAGTAAGATAGACGGAATAGATGAAATACTAAAAAGAAGATTTGGACACCGGGCGTGATCAAAACTCGCATCCTTCTGATCTGGAGTCCAGACGTGCTACCTATGCGCCACCGGAATCCACTTAGTGTAGCCGTTTCGCACACCACGCGTGTAGCATGCTATTGCTCGGGCCTTCTTGTCGATGAAAGCACAGGTAAAGAGACAAGTCATTGTAGACAGACAAATAAGTAGATAGGCAGATAGTTGAAAATATTAAAACAGACAACTTGACCCGAACGTGATTCGAACACGCAACCTTCTGATCTGGAGTCAGACGCGCTACCGTTGCGGCACCGAGTCCGTTTAGGTTGGCCGTTCGCACACACGTGGTAGCATGTTTTGCACGGCCTTCTGGCGACGAAGCACAGGTAAAGGGACAAGTCACTGTAGAAGGACAAATGAGTAGATAGACAGATAGTTGAAAATAATAATAAGAGAATTTGACCCGGACGTGACTAGAACACGAAACCTTCTGATCTGGAGTCAGACGTGCTAAATTTGCGCAACCGAGTCCGCTAAGAGTAGCCGTTCGCCCACACGTGGTAGCAAGTTTTGCTTGGCCTTCTATCGATGAAGCACAGGTGAAGAGACAAGTCATTGTAGACAGACAAAAGAGTAGATAGACAGATAGATGAAAATAATAAAAACAGAGAATTTGACCCGGACGTGATTTGAACACGCAACCTTCTGATCTGGAGTCAGACGTGCTACCGCATCGCCGCCGAGTCCACTTAGTGTAGGCGTTCGCACACAATCGGTAGCATGTTTTGCTCGGCCTTCTGTCGATGAAGCACAGGTAAAGAGACAAGTCATTGTAGACAGACAAATAGGTGGATAGACAGACGAAAATAATAAAAAAGCGAATTTGACCGGACGGGATTCAAACTTGCAAGCTTCTGATCTGGAGTCAGACGTGCTACCATGTCGCCACCGCGTCCATTTAGGGTAGCCGTTCGCACACGCGGTGGCATGATTTGCTCGGCCTTCTGCCGATGAAGCACAGCTAAAGAGAAGAGTCATTGTAGACAGACAAATAAGTAGTTAGACAGATAGATGAAAATAGTAAAAAAGAGAACTTGACCCGGACGTGATTCGAACCCGCAACCTTCTGATCTGGAGTCAGACGTGCTACTGTGTCGCCACCGAGTCCACTTATTGTAGCGGTTCACACACACGCGGTAGCATGTTTTGCTCGGCCTTCTGTCGATGCAGCACAAGTAAAGAGACAAGTCATTGGTAGCACGAACAAATAAGTATAATAGACAGATGAAAATACTAAAAAAGGAGAATTTGACCCGGACGTGTGATTTCGAACACGCAACCTTCTGATCAGGAGGTGGACGCTCTACCGTTGCGCCCCCGAGTTCATATTAGGGTGCCGTTCGCACACACGCGGGTAGCATGTTTGGCACGGCCTTCTGTCGACGAAGCACAGCTAAGGAGGAAGAGTACACTGTACAACAGACAAATAAGTAGATAGGACAGATAGATGACAATAGTAAAAAAGAGAACTTGACCCGGACGTAGATTTGACACGCAACCTTCTTAATCTGGAGTCAGACGTGCTACTGTGATGGCCACGAGTCCGCTTAGAGGTGGGGTTCGCACACTAGTGGTAGCAGTTTTGCTCGGCCTTCTGGTTGATGAAGCACCGGTAAAGGGACAAAGTCCATGCAGACAGACAAATAAGTAGATAGACAGATAAATGAAAATAATAAAAAGAGAATTTGACCCGGGCGTGATTAGAACACGCAACCTTCTGATCTGGAGTCAGACGCGCTACCGGTTCGCCACCGAGTCCGTTTAGGGTAGGCGTTCACCCACACGTTGTGGCATGTTTTGCTCGGCCTTCTATCGACGACGCACAGCTAAAGAGAAGAGTCACTGTAGACAGACAAATAAGTAGATAGACAAATGAAAATACTAAAAAAGAGAATTTGACCCGCACGTGGTTCGAACACGCAACCTACTGATCTGGAGTAGGACGCGCTACCAGTTCGCCACCGAGTGCGCTTAGGGGTAGCCGTTGCACACTTGTGGTAGCATGTTTTGCCCGGCCTTCTGTCGACGAAGCACAGGTAAAGCAACAAGTCATTGTAGAAGGACAAATAAGTAGATAGACGGATAGACTAAAATAATAAAAAGAAAATTTGACCCGGGCGTGATTCAAACTCGCATCCTTCTAATCTGGAGTCAGACGTGCTACCGTATCGCCACCGAATCCACTTTGTGTAGGCGTTCGCACACTAGTGGTAGCATGTTTTGCTCGGAATTCTGTCGACGAAGCACATGTAAAGAGACAAGTAATGTAGACAGACAAATAAATAGATAGACAGATGAAACTAATAAACAGAGAATTTGACCTGGACGTGATTCGATTACGCAACCTTCCGATCTGGAGTCAGACGTGCTAAAGTTGAGCCACCGAGTCCGCTTAGGGTAGCCGTTCGCACACACGCGATAGCATGCTTTGCTCGGCCTTCTGTCGATGAAGCACAGGTAAAGAGACAAGTCATTGTAGACAGACAAATAAGTAGATAGGCAGATAGTTGAAAATATTAAAACAGAGAATTTGACCCAGACGTGATTCAAACACGCAACCTTCTGATCTGCAGTCAGACGCGCTGCCGTTGCGCCTCCGAGTCCGCGTAGAGGTAGCTGTTCGCACACACGTGGTAGCATGTTTTGCCCGGCCTTCTGTCGATGAAACCCAAGTAAAGAGACAAGTCATTGTAGACAGACAAATAAGTAGATATACAGATAGATGAAAATAATAAAAAAGAGAACTTGACCCAGACGTGATTCGAACGCGCAACCTTCTAATCTGGAGTCAGATGTGCTACTGTGTCGCCACCGAGTCGACATAGTGTAGCCGTTTTCACACACGCGGTAGCGTGTTCTGCTCGGCCTTTTGTCGATGAAGCACAGGTAGAGAGAGAAGTAATGTAGACAGATAAATAAGTAGATAGGCAGATAGATGAAAATAATAAAAAGAGAATTTGACCAGAACGTGATTCGAACACGCAACCTTCTGATCTGGAGTCAGACGCGCTACCCTTGCGCCACCGAGTCCGTTTGGGCAGCCGTTCGCACACACGCGGTAGCATGTTTTGCACGGCCTTCTGTCGACGAAGCACAGGTAAAGGGACAAGTCATTGTAGACAGACAAATAAGTAGATAGACAGATAGTTGAAAATAATAAAGAGAGAATTTGACCCAGACGTGATTCGAACACGCAACCTTCTGATCTGGAGTCAGACGCGCTACCGTTGCGGCACCGAGTCCATTTAGGGTGGCCGTTCGCACACACGCGGTAGCATGTTTTGCACGGCCTTCTTGCGACGAAGCACAGGTAAAGGGACAAGTCATTGTAGACAAACAAATAGGTGGATAGACAGATAGATGAAAATATTAAAAAAGAGAATTTGACCCGAACGTGATTCGAACACGCAACCTTCTGATCTGTAGTCAGACGCGCTACCGTTGCGCCACCGTATCATTAGGGTGGCCGTTCGCACCCCACGCGGTAGCATGTTTGGCACGGCGCTTCTGTCGACGAAGCACAGCTAAAGAAGAAGAGTCCTGTAGACAGACAAATCAGTAGATAGACAAATGAAAATAAAAAAAGAGAATTTGACCCGCACGTGGGTCGGAACAAACGCAAACCTACTGAGCTGGAGTCGGACGCGCTACCAGTTCGCCACCGAGTGCGCTTAGGGTAGCCGTTTCACACACGTGGTAGCATGTTTTGCCCGGCCTTCTGTCGACGAAGCACAGGTAAAGCGACAAGTCATTGTAGAAGGACAAATAAGTAGATAGACGGATAGATGAAAATATTAAAAAGAGAATTTGACCCGGGCGTGATTCAAACTCGCATCCTTCTGATCTGGAGTCAGACGTGCTACCGTATCGCCACTGAATCCATTAGTGTAGGCGTTCGAACACATGTGGTAGCATGTTTTGCTCGGAATTCTGTCGATGAAGTCCACAGAGGTAAAGCGACAAGTAATGTAGACAGGACAATAAATAGATAGACAGGATGACTATAATAAAAAGAGAATTTGATCCGGACGTGATTAGAACACGCAACCTTCTGATCTGGAGTCAGACGTGCTAAAGTTGCGCCACCGAGTCTGCTTAGGGTAGCCGTTCGCACACACTGGTAGCATGTTTTGCTCGGCCTTCTGTCGATGAAGCGCAGGTAAAGAGACAAGTCATTGTAGACAGACAAATAAGTAGATAGACAGATAGTTGAAAATAATAAAAGAGAGAATTTGACCCGGACGTGATTCGATTACGCAACCTTCTGATCTGGAGTCAGACGGGCTAAATTTGAGCCACCGAGTCCGCTTAGGGTAGCCGTTCGCACACACGCGGTAGCATGCTTTGCTCGGCCTTCTGTCGATGAAGCACAGGTAAAGAGACAAGTCATTGTAGACAGACAAATAAGTAGATAGGCAGATAGTTGAAAATATTAAAACAGAGAACTTGACCCGAACGTGATTCGAACACGCAACCTTCTGATCTGGAGTCAGACGCGCTACCGTTGCGGCACCGAGTCCGCTTAGAGGTAGCTGTTCGCACACACGTGGTAGCATGTTTTGCTCGGCCTTCTGTCGATGAAACCCAAGTAAAGAGAGAAGTCATTCTAGACAGACAAATAGGTAGATATTCAGATAGATGAAAATACTAAAAAGAGAATTTGACCTAACGTGATTCGAACACAAACCTTCTGACCTGGAGTCAGACGTGGTAGCATTGCACCACCGAGTCCGCTTATAGGGTCCCTTCGCACACACGCGGTAACAAGTTTTGCTCGGCCTTCTGTCGATGAAGCACAGGTAAAGGGACAAGTCATTGTAGACAGACAAATAAGTAGATAGACAGATAGATGAAAATAATAAAAAGAGAACTTGACCCGGACGTGATTCGAACGCGCAACCTTCTGATATGAAGTCAGGCGTGTTACCGTGTCGCCACCGAGTCGACTTAGTGTAGCCGTTTTCACACACGCGGTAGCGTGTTCTGCTCGGCCTTGTGTCGATGAAGCACTGGTAAAGAGAGAAGTAATGTAGACAGATAAATAAGTAGATAGGCAGATAGATGAAAATAATAAAAAAGAGAATTTGACCTGAACGTGATTCGAACACGCAACCTTCTGATCTGGAGTCAGACGCGCTACACTTGCGCCACCGAGTCCGTTTTGGGTAGCCGTTCGCACACACGCGGTAGCATGTTTTGCACGGCCTTCTGTCGACGAAGCACAGGTAAAGGGACAAGTCATTGTAGACAGACAAATAAGTAGATAGACAGATAGATGAAAATAATAAAAAAGCGAATTGGACCCGGACGTGATTAAAACTGGCAACATTCTGATCTGGAGTCAGACATGCTACCGTGTCACCACCGCGTCCTTTTAGGGTAGCCGTTCGCACACACGTGGTAGCATGATTTGCTCGGCCTTCTGTCGATGAAGCACAGCTAAAGAGAAGAGTCATTGTAGACAGACAAATAAGTAGATAGACAGATAGATGAAAATAATAAATAAGACAACTTGAACCGGACGTGATTAAAACTGGCAACATTCCGATCTGGAGTCAGACATGCTACCGTGTCACCACCGCGTCCTTTTAGGGTAGCCGTTCGCACACACGTGGTAGCATGATTTGCTCGGACTTCTGTCTATGAAGCACAGCTAAAGAGAAGAGTCATTGTAGACAGACAAATAAGTAGATAGAGAGATAGATGAAAATATTAAAAAAGAGAACTTGAGCCGGACGTGATTCGAACCCGCAACCTTCTGATCTGAAGTCAGACGTGCTACTGTGTCGCCACCGATTCCACTTACTGCAGCCGTTCACACACACGCGGTAGCATGTTTTGCTCGGCCTTCTGTCGATGAAGCACAGGTAAAGAGACAAGTCATTGTAGACAGACAAATAAGTAGATAGGCAGATAGATGAAAATAATAAATAAGACAACTTGAACCGGACGTGATTCGAACGCTCAACCTTCTGATATGAAGTCAGACGTGTTACCGTGTCGCCACCGAGTCGACTTAGTGTAGCCGTTTTCACACACGCGGTAGCGTGTTCTGCTCGGCCTTGTGTCGATGAAGCGCAGGTAAAGAGAGAAGTAATGTAGACAGATAAGTAAGTAGATAGGCAGATAGATAAAAATAATAAAAAAGAGGATTCGACCCGAACGTGATTCGAACACGCAACCTTCTGATCTGGAGTCAGACGCGCTACCCTTGCGCCACCGAGTCCGTTTAGGATAGCCGTTCGCACACACGCGGTAGCATGTTTTGCACGGCCTTCTGTCGACAAAGCACAGGTAAAGGGACAAGTCATTGTAGAAGGACAAATAGGTAGATAAACAGATAGATGAAAATAATAAATAGAGAATTAGACCCGGACGTGATTAGAACACGCAACCTTCTGATCTGGAGTCAGACGCGCTACCGGTTCGCCACCGAGTCCGTTTAGGGAAGGCGTTCACACACACGTTGTGGCATGTTTTGCTCGGCCTTCTATCGACGAAGCACAGGTAAAGAGACAAGTTATTGTAGAGAAACAAATAGGTGGATAGACAGATAGATGAAATTATTAAAAAAGAGAATTTCACCCAAACATGATTCGAACACGCAGCCTTCTGATCTGTAGTCCGACGCTACCGTTTCACCACCGAGTTCATTTAGGGTGGCCGTTCGCACACACGCGGTAGCATGTTTTGCCCGGCCTTCTGTCGACGAAGCACAGGTAAAGCGACAAGTCATTGTAGAAGGACAAATAAGTAGATAGACGGATAGATGAAAATAATAAAAAGAGAATTTTGACCCGGGCGTGATTCAAACTCGCATCCTTCTGATCTGGAGTCAGACGTGCTACCGTATCGCCACCGAATCCACTTGTGTAGGCGTTCGCACAGTAGTGGTAGCATGTTTTGCTCGGAATGCTGTCGATGAAGAACAGGTAAAGAGACAAGTAATGTAGACAGACAAATAAATAGATAAACAGTTGAAACTAATAAAAAGAGAATTTGACCCGGACGTGATTCAAACACGCAATCTTCTGATCTGGAGTCAGACGCGCTGCCGTTGCGCCTCCGAGTCCGCTGAGAGATAGCTGTTCGCACACACGTGCTAGCATGTTTTGCTCGGCCTTCTGTCGATGAAACCTAAGTAAAGAGACAAGTCATTCTACACAGACAAATAGGTAGATATTCAGATAGATGAAAATAATAAAAAGAGAATTTGACCCTAACGTGATTCGAACACAAAACCTTCTGATCTGGAGTCAGACGTGGTACCATTGCACCACCGAGTCCGCTTATAGGGTCCCTTCGCACACACGCGGTAACATGTTTTGCTCGGCCTTCTGTCGATGAAGCACAGGTAAAGAGACAAGTCATTGTAGACAGACAAATAAGTAGATAGACAGATAGATGAAAATAATAAAAAAGAGAACTTGACCCGGACGTGATTCGAACGCTCAACCTTCTGATATGAAGTCAGACGTGTTACCGTGTCGCCACCGAGTCCACTTAGTGTAGCCGTTTTCACACACGCGGTAGCATGTTCTGCTCGGCCTTGTGTCGATGAAGCACAGGTAAAGAGAGAAGTAATTGTAGACAGATAAATAAG